AAAGAGAGCGCTTCCGCTCATTTCTCCCGTGTTATTATCCAAAGTTAATGTAAACTTGAATAATGTACTTCATTTGAATGTAATAACTATGTTGGTTGTTGTTTGTGGAAGCTCCAGAGAATGAGCCCCATTAACTGAGTTTTAAACATCACTTTAAATGGAAGATCCCCATAGGCTCCGCCCACTCGATCGATATCGGCCGATACTGATTCCGGCGATCGCCCCCAAAATTGGCGATATTAAAAATTAAATGTATTTATTAATTAATCCTGTGCTGAACTTTACAATATTGAGTGTCGAGTGCTCTTTTTTTTTTAAGCCATAAAAGGTGTTAATTGTTGTTATTTTTTGACACTAAAACGAATTCACATCCAATTGTTGAATCAAAGTCAGCTGTTAATTCTTGTTTTTTTATATGTGCACGTTACAGATCTTAAATCAAAATGTAACAATGGTGTCAATCTCTGTTTCATTTCTTCATCTGATCCTAAATCTGCCCCCCAGGTTCCTCATTACAGAAACAAGGCGGTACATACAGGAGCTGTGGGATCATCACAGTAAACTACCCATAAGCCCCGTAAAGTCCAGCAGCAAAGAGGATTGGTGCAGCTCTTATCCAATCAGATTAACCCGATCAGAATCAGCTCAGCGGCGCTCAGAGGCCCAACAGTCACACGCTCAGGAGGTAAGTGGCAATTAAATCAAAGCCTTTAAGATAACTGGTACATATCAAAATACATGTAGGGCTTTTTGAGCTTATTTAGCATTTTAACGTGTTATATGTAATAAAAACTGTTTTACACAAATACAATAAAAAATTTGAATTAAACTAATAATCAAAATTTTAAAATGACAGTTCATATTCAGTTACAGTCCAGTAAACATACCAGAAGTTTTTTGGTTGAAACTGATGGCACTCGATGCACACGATGATGGTTTGATGTCCGTCGATGGTTTTCCCGTAAATCTGAAGGAGGAAGAAAATACATATTGTCTGATTTTAAATGCAAAAGGTTATTCTTTCTAAATGAAACAGTGGTTTTTGTTTACAGCTACGAAATCAAGCTCATGCTAGCGTGCAACTTGAGGGACTGTAGTATCTTCTGCGTGTTGTATATTCACTGTGGAGCCTAGAAGAACAAGGGGCCTGGCATTAAAAGCATCTTGCTAAACATCCTGCTGTCTTTACGGAGGAATCGGATCAAAATGGGAATTCTTTTGGCCGTGATTCTTGAATAAATCCAGATTTGTCATGGTTAACTAATTCTGTGAATGTATCTTTTGCCTCTACGTACGGTGCAGACTCCGTTGGGGTAGTGCTCCTTGACGTAGGCCCTGACGGCAGAGTCCACGGCGCCCCTCCAGCCCTCCAGGGACCCGTCCACGTCCTGGGGCCGCGGGTCGCTCGCCTCCTTCCTCAGGTGGTCGAACTTGAAGGACATCTTGCTCTTGGGGTCCAGGACCCGGCCGTTCCCCAGGTCTCCATGCTCTGTGATTAAGACCTGGGAGGAGGGAGGAGATGGTGAGGAGGACAATAAGCAGAGCGAGTGTGGAGTGGCTGTTTGTCCTGAAACTAAAGATACAAAAATAAAATCCAACCACCAACAAAGCACCAGAAAGAAGATTTAAGATGTTTCAGTTGTCCAGGCAAGAATATAGTTTTTGCAATCTTTTGTCCTTAGGTTTCAACGATCAAACAGTATAAAAAAAACTTGGTTTCAACGATAGAAATTGTGCAATTTTTTATGCTTTATAAGAGTTTCTTTTATTTGCATATTGACTTATTAATGTGCAATTTCAGTTGTGTTTTACGACAGCTTTATTCGTCTGCCTGTATTATTCTTGGGGAGTATTGTTCATGCTGCCCTCTTGGCCAAGTCGCTCTTGAAAAAGAGATTTTCATCTCAATGAGACTTTTTACCTGGTTAAATTAAGGATGTACAGAGTGCCACAGTGACGCGTCCTAAAACCCGGAAGTAAACTCCTTCCGGTTCCTTCGACAAAAACGCAATGCAATTTCTCCATAGGATTTTGGAAAATAGCTGGAAATAAGGTCTGTGGTTGACACACATTTAAGAGACACGTTTTGTTCAGCCAGATAATATCCACATGTCTACCCTACTTTTATAGTTTTCGAATCATAAATCTAGTCGCCAGAAGCAACATGCTAACGTTATGCTATAAACAAACTACAGCAGGGTCACTGCTTCAACGTCACGCCAACTTAAGATTGATATTCAAAACTACATTGTACAAGTTGAAGCGTTTGTTTGAACAGTTTGCAGGAGGCAGGTACTTGCTTTCAAGCAGAACAGGGCAAACTAACTTAGAGGGAGTGTTTACGTGTTCGGCGTAATGACGTACAACGGCCTCGACAACTTCTGTAGTCCTATTCAGCCACTTGTTAACAACCATCGTTTCTCAGACACGTAAACTCTTCAGAAATCACCAGTGGGGTCACTGCTGATGGATTTAATGTCGTAGAACAAAACGTGATCCGTCTCTTAAATGCGTTTCAACCACAGACCTTATTTCAGCTATTTTCCAAACTCCTATGGAGAGATCCCATTGGCTCTGAGACGAGGGGAACAGGAAGTGGTGAAATGCTGACTCACTTCCGGGTTTTAGGACGCGTCACTGTGGCACTCTATATCAAACAGTATAAAAAACAATGGCCCCCTTTGTTCCCTAGGATTTAAACCATACAAAAAAAATGCTTTTTCTGCCCAATCACTCGTCTAATAAATAACAAAAGAGCACCCAGTGCCTGAAACTGCCTTCAGGAACAAACACATCAAATATTGAAATTAACAAATACAGAAGGAACGAAAGAAAGAGAAAAAAGGAAGAGACAGAAATAGAGATGGAGTGAAAAGAAAAGAAAGAAAGAGAGAAACAAAAAGAGAGAAATGAAATAGAGAAAGAGAACAGATAAAAAGTTGTTGTGATTAAACAACAGAAACAAGGGATGAGGAAAAGACGGCCCAACGAGACGTCAGAAGGCAGGACACTTGGTGGAAAGCGAGAACAATCAGGAGATTAATTAACGCGTTGCAACGAGAGAAAAACAAAAAAGTCGTCCGTCATCTCCCTCAACTCGCAGCGCGGCCTGCTGGGTAACAGACGGGGGAATTTAACCCGGAACAAAGGGGACATGATGACACCTTTGCATCAGACGCTGCAATCATTACTGCAGCTCAGACTTCCCGACACACAGAGAGGAGGCCGACGTGTGAATGAAGACGTGTTTGTGAGTTTGTTTCCTGCAGAAGCAGAGGAGAACTCTGGGGATCCTTTAATCCTCCCTGCTCTGATTTAAAGCCCCAGAGAGCGTAACATTAGTGGAATTATAATCAGTAAAGCTGAACATCTTCTGTTGAATTAAAGAGAATAATGATTTTTTTACACTACTTATATTACAGGATTGTTTCAAATAAATATAAAGAAACACTTGAGCTCCTTTTTGTACACATGTGACTTAACATCGATGTATAGAGTCACACTTTCCTCTGATGTGCATGAGCTATAGCAATATACATTCATAACTTAAAGGGGACCTATCATGCAAAATGCACTTTTTGATGTCTTTTATACATAAATATGTGTCCCCGGTGTGTCGGGGAACTCACGCAGCGTCAGAAAATAAAACCCTCTCTCTTTTCCTCCGTACCAAAATCTCTAAAAACGGGGCTACAACGGAGCTGATCCAGAATGTGGACCCACGGCCCTATCAGAAACGTTGCTATCAGAAACAATGCCCGACTGTTTTGGACGTAATATGGTCGGTGTTTACATTAGCATCGCTAACACTCAGAGCTAACCTGTACTGGAGAGCATGTGTGTGAAGAAGCAGGAAATAAAAAGGAACTCACCTTGTGGTATAACCGGCAAGAGAGAAAGCCTTTGAGCTCCATACTGTTTCAGAAATAATCCTTGATAATCCATGATATGGCGTTTCATCACCGCAGTATTTAGTTTAGACAGTAGCTGCCGGGTCCCGCATGAGCTCAGACCCCTCCTTTTTATTTATCAATTTTGCTTTATACCCCAAATCAGCACTTTTGAAACAGGAAGTGAAATAGAGGGATATGAGGCATGGCTAGAATGGGTGATCTGTTTGGTATTTTGAGCAAAACACTTCATAGACATGTTTTTTTATATATTTGTATATATCTGAGACCTATGCTATTGCCTACAAATAGCATGATAGGTGACCTTTGAACGTTTGGAGTTGTTAATTATTTCAGTAACTACTCTTCATTTCGTTAACCACGCATTTGACTATTTCAATATAGAGTTGGTTTATACAGCAGGCATGATCAATCTTTATATTTCTTATAGTGAGCAAAGAAAGTCCTGTTTTTTCATTTTCTTCCGATTTGTTATTTTCTTATATATATATATTTGACTGTAGTTCACTTTTTATGTCCTTGTCACAATATTTTTTCTTCCTGAGCCCCATATTCTCCTGATCTGATCCCCATGTTTTCAGACCGGTGTGCAGAGAGCGGGTCGGAGCTGAAGAATAATCTCACCTGTTCTTCGTATCCCTCGACCTTCACCGGGGTGAACTGGTCCAAGTTGTACTGTGCAAACGCACTGCAGAGAGAGGGAAATAAAGTGTTACTTCATACACCCTTAACTCAGTGTTTGAGCAATATGGATGTGGACTAAAGGGCTGTCCACACAAACCATACATGTACCATCTACAACTAACTCTAACTAAGGGGTCAATAAATAATTAACAATCTGGACATTTGAAAAGTACCACAAAGTGAGGATGGAATGAGATGCTATTGATTTCAAAAGGTAGCTTATATTTGATTGTTGATAGCACATTTGTAAAACTAAGTTGCCTATATCTTTATATACTGTGTGTGTGTGCTCAGGTTCATGTTAGTGAACGTTCTTATTTTCCTTTTTACCAAGGCAAGAAGGAAAGATCTTTAGAAATGTTTTTTAGGCCATTTCTGACTAGCAAAACTAAAGAACTGATAACTATTATCGCCTCGTTGTGACTATTAGAGTACGTGCTAGATGTGTAGATAATGCAGGTCATTTGAATGTGTAAAAGTAAGCCCTACATGTTTGGTCAAATATTTCATTTTCTAAGTGACAGTGCTCAAAGAAATTGGAGAGAGGCACTCAAACAAAATTAAATTACACAAATGGAATATCTCCTACGTTTTTATTGGCTGCCCGATCAAATTAGAAAAATTAACCAAAGATGGCAAAACGATTCGAACTAACAACCATCTATATTTGGAAATGAAAAAATGTAGCCTTTATTGGAGAGTGACAGTGTAGAGGCGATGACATGCGCAAAGGAAGCAGGTATAGCCATATTTATTGTTAAAACTAAATAAAAACACTAAATGCAGAATTACGATGTTTTCATTCAGTCTTTTTGCAGACCTGGAAATAGTGGAGACAGGAGAGACTTACTGCGCTGCACCTTCCCTGAGAAGATTGTCATTGTTGAGCAGCAACCGCACATCTGAGGAGAGAAAGGAGAGAGGTAAAGGGGAAGTCGCACCACACCCGGGTGGGGTGGAATGGGGGGGGGGGGGGTGTACACACACACACACACACACACCGACACACACACACACACACTACACACACACACCCACACCACTACACACACACAGCTACACACACACACACACACACGCACACATCCACCCACACACACACACACACACACACCCATCTACACCACATCTACACATCCAACACACACACACACACCCACACACACACACACACACACACACACACACCACACACCACACACTACACACACACACAACCACAATACACACACACACACACACACCATCACCTACAGTCACTGATCACACACTACCACCACAACACACACACACACACATGCCACGACACACACATCACCGCACATCACACACACACACCACACACACGCACACCACACACACACACACACACCACACACAGCACCCACACCACAACCCACACAACACACACACACACAACACACACACACACCACACAACACACACAACCACACACACACACACCCACTCACACACCACACACACACACACACACACACACACACACACACACACACACACACACACACACACACACACACACACACACACACACACACACACACACACACACACACACACACACACACACACACACACCACACCCCCACTGTAAATAGGTTGCTAATGTATACCTCTGTAATTATGTTGTGATGTCCTTTTGTTTTCTGTTGTTTTTATGTGTAACTAATGTACCGCAGGTCTCCCTTGACCAATGGGATTTTTTTTAACCTGGTTAAATAAAGGCTACAAACAAACAAACACACACACACTCGGTAGAAAAGGTTGTAACATCACACAGATGATAGAGGACAAAGTGGCACGAGGGGACTGTAATTCAGAGTGTGTAAGTGTGTGTCAGGCTGTGATAAGAGGCAGACAGAGAGCCCGTTGGCGCACCTCTGAGGTGACGACATTTATCGCGGCCGGACGAGGATTTAACAACGCCAAACACACACTCTGGAGGGGCGGCACTGTGACGGAGGGGTGTCAACACAGAGCTGCAGGGCGAGAAACTATTTGGCCCAAACACCATCGTCTCTATTTGCTCTAGGTGTTCCCAGAGGGCACCGCATGTGAACAGAGAAGATTATCCATTTCAGCTTCTGGAAAAAACTATTTAGGAGCAAGCATTGGGGAAATATGGCTAGTTTTACTACAATAAATGTATATTAACAGGCAATTTTATGATAGAAAATGTTCCTTAAAGCCACTTTTGCACCATTCATTGGATGTTTTGAATTAAATCCATGCATGCTGCTTTGTTAAAGTAAAGAATATATGTGCATTTTATATTCTATGCCTTTGTATGTCTTTACAAAGTCATACATTGTAGACAGAGCCAGTGTTTTCTGTGTACATTATGGGTCATTTTAGCCTGTATTTAGAAGATGAAGAGATGTGAGGTAATGAGGGGGAAGAGGAGGAGGGATGAAGGTTTCCCAGGTCTACGTCAATAACATCACACTCTTCAAAAAGAAGAATAAACGGAGTACTCACCATTGAAAACTTCGTTGAACTCTCCTGGCGGGGCGTGGATGACGAAGTTAGCTGCTATGCGTACCTGCAGAGAAAACAAAAAGAGGTACAGGTTAAGACTGATAGTCCTTAGTCGAACACTAAACTAATCGTCAAAAAATATCAACATGATGAATAGGGATGGGTACCGAGCCCCGGTATTAAACGGGCCCCGGGGCTGAATTATTAAAAACCGTGGTACCGTTAAACTCCAACGTTATCGGTACTGGAGACATGTAAAAATATATGTCATGTGTATTATTGCTACACAAACATTATATTGCAGTTTTAGTGTCGCCAACTCCGTTTCTAATACGCAAAAATACTGCAAAATGCTACATGCAGCAACACACACACATGGAGGAGACGGCGGAGAGAACGCGCTCCGAGGTGTGGTTAAACTTTACCCGTCTCGATCGTTACCAAAAGTGCAATAACAGTTTAGCATGTAAGGGCGGTAACACGAGCAATTTGTCTAAACATTTATCAAAAGTGCACCACATCCAGACGGAGGAATGCACCGACTGTCTTTCTAGTAGCTCTGTAGCCCCATCCACGAGTAATGTTTCCACGTCAGGTGTTATGTATGCTAGCAGCAACACACGGAGCTAACTCAATTATACAAACATGGGTTAATGATTAGAGGGAACTGAGTTATTCATTTTGTTAAAGTTTCAGCTATTCTGTTTACAGCTCTGTCATCAGATTATTTAATACCATTTGTTAAAACATTGTTGTTTCTTTTGATGTGAAATATTATGTATTTAATTTAAATAATAAGCAATGTTAGTTTTGTTCCCAATTTGTTTAGTTAGTTTACCTTATTTTTTTCAAAAGAACCGATAAAAGTACCGTTAAAAGACCGGATTGATAAAAGTAGTAGTACCGTTAAAACCTTAACGATACCCATCCCTAACGATGAATCAATGTTTTTGACACAGTCCAAGATCTCAGACATTATATTGCATTAAAACCCGTTTGTTTATTAGGATCTTTTTATTTACAATTTCCTACCACTCCCAGCGAGAAACAGATGTTTTTAAATCATTGAAGTAGGGCTGCACAATTAATTTAACTATTTTATGAAAATAGCAATAGCAATTTGGGCTAGTGCAAATTTTAAAACACAGGTGGCACAATAAGTCATTTAGCAAAATAAGTGAATATTATTCTGAATCAAGTATTGTGGAGGTCCCGGCATACAAATATATTCTACAGACTCGATAATAAACCTTTGTTTGGTACAGATCATCTTAAAAAACACACACTGTGGTCATTTGAAATACATCTTTCAATGATTAGACTGGATTAGATAAGTACTGAGACAAAGAAAACATCTAACCAGAAGTGCAAATGAAGCAGTAAAGTGCAGTGTTATTATTTAAAGTATTATATAAAGAAAAAAAAGTGAAAGTACATACACTATGGACAGTATATATGTGTATATAAACACTATGAACAATAGAAGATATAAGATAAGAATTAAGATGCAAAAAAGATAATATCAGTGAAAATATTGCGATTAGTTATTTGTTCCATATTGTGCAGCAATAGTTCTGACTCAAGTTTGCAGAAGTTCACCTCAAGTAAACCTATTTAACTCGTATCATTCACCAAGTAAACTCTGAATATAAGTGCGCACCTCGGCCAACAGAGGGTGTAGCGTTACTGTGTCACTAGTTTAGAGGGTGGAGTGAGGCGGTGTATTATCGCTCTCATTAAACGCTGTCATTTTCCCCTCTTCCTCACTTCTCTTCTTCTGCTGCTGCGCCACAACACTTCCTGTTTCCAGGTCACATGTCAAACTGACAGCGAGACGGCAGCGGCCCCTCCCTCCCCCCGCATGCTTCACGACCATATAAGGAGATAAAAATGTGCTGAGGACTCTAGTGCACATTCTCTCTCTCGCACCACCTCTATATCCCCTCTCTATCTCTGAGAGGGTACACCGGTGCATCAGGGAAGGTGTGTGTGTGTGTGTGTGTGTGTGTGTGTGTGTGTGCGTGTGTGCGTTTGTCCCCCAGGCCCTTATTAGCAGTGTGTGTATACAAGTGCTCTGGCACTCGTGCAGAGCTGCAGATTGATTCCTGCTAATGAGCGATGCTGAGAGAAGGGAAGCCACTCTGGGAGGAACGTGTGTGTGTGTGTGTGTGCGGGTATGTGTGTGTCTGTGTGAAATGTTGAGATCAAAGTGTATCTGTATAGTCCCTCAGTCATAAGATCATCATGACCAAATGATGTTGGGTTATCTAACATTTCACAAAAAAACAATGTTGGTGTGTGTCTGTGTCTGTGTGTGTGTGTGTGTGTGTGTGTGTGTGTGTTTGTTTGTCCCTCAGGCCCTTATTAGCAGTGTGTGTATACAAGTGCTCTGGCACTCGTGCAGAGCGATTTCTGCTAATGAGCGATGCCGAGAGAAGAGAAGCCACTCGGGGAGGAACATGTGTGTGTGTGTGTGTGTAATGTTGAGATCAAAGTTTATCTGTGTAATCCCTCAGTCATAAAATCATCATGACCAAATTATGCTGAGCTATCTAAAATTCAACAAAAAAACAATGTTTGTGTGTGTGTGTGTGTGTGTGTGTGTGTGACACATACTCTCACTTTGTTCAACAGCTGGTGGAAAATGGTGTTTGTGACTCCCTGAGGGAAGTCTCCTTTGCATTGCGTCTCCCTCATTACACCGGACAGCAGTGTAAACACACTTTCCATATGCAGACAGCATCTAACAGAGACTTTGTTTACGGATTCTTTTATTTGAACCAAAGTGAGTTATCAGCTAACATCAGTCCATGTAACGTTAGAACTTCTCTACTTGTTTTTATTCGGCTGCTTCCTGTAACTGGCGCTGACGACTGAGGTTTCAACTCAAAAACCACTTAAGCTAAAGATTACAATTGAATGAACAATAGACCGGTTGCCATTTTCAATGCAAAAAACGATCCTCTTCAACTCTATCAACCTGTCTATACTTGCTAAGAGTTAATATTGGACTATGATAAAACTAGAGATGTCCAGGCATTGATTTAAGACTTCTTCCATTGGCTTAACTACTGAACGACGTTGTTAGCTTGCAGAATAAACGGTATAGCGCCTACAGCTATAGGGAGAGACTAGAAGAGAAAGTGGACGATTTGAGATTTGACAGCGAACTGATCCAGGCTGCATGAAGAGCAGATAAAGCCAAGGGAGTGCAGTGTGGTTTAAAGTGAATCACTGACAGAAGGAGGAGGAGACGGATACTCCATTAGCCGGTTATGAGTATCACATTGACTGTTAAAAGCTAGTGAAGAACAGGGAAATACTTCCTCTAAGTACTTCAAACCAGTTCTACTGAAGCACTGAGACAACAGTTGACATCCTAATATGGCAATGGAAGAAACAAACATTGAATAACAAATATATTCAGTTTCTACTTTTTCTTGCAAGTTATTTACATGCAAACTCTAGAATGATTTGCAGTGATGCTGGATACTTCAAAAATAAATCTACATGGAGCTTTTCCTGAGACAAAAACATGAATGTCAATGTTGTTGGTCAGTATCTGAGAAACCCCAAAAGTACAGCAGATTTAAAGGGAAAGTTATACAGTACAAATTGAACTGTTATTAATCAATCAAGATTGTTTTGGCTCGAGTTGCCAAACTAGTAGAAATTACTACTGAAGATAGTCCGCACACCAGTGTTTCCGCCAGACCAGGGCTGAGAGGGCGTCCACCCCGAGAGCTGGGGGGGGGGGGGGATTGACGTCACGTTGTGTCACGTGACTTGAATTTTGAATTGAGCCGTCCCTTATAGATACTATCTCTTTACATATGCACCTATATATACAGTCTATGATATGCACACAATTTTGAATTGCACCGTCCCTTATCCTATCTCTTAACGTCTCCCTGCCGACAGGGACACCCCTCCTGGCATGGTCCTTGGAAGATACGGCGTTTTTTCCGTCACAAGAACGCGCTTTGCTGGCGACGAAAATAATCCCACCAGACTCCTTTGCCCCTCCAACAGAGGGATGTCCTTTTTCCTTTTCATCATTTCAAGCGATAAAAACATCTTCTCTCAAATTATTTATTTTTTTGGACGCCCTCGGCTCGAGTTTAGGGCGTTCCGAGCTGAATAAGAGCGTCAAATGACGGCAAGACGCCCCCCCTGGCGGAAACGCTGCCGCACACCGTGTTGAGAGAAGTTTCATGTAGGACCCATTTTTCGTTCCTACTGTTTCTGCACCGAACCACTAACGAACTAAAGTCACAGCTTAGCCGAGTGTTTCAAAGCTTTTCTATTAGCCTAGTTCTAGTTCTGTCACATTCGAGATAAGGCAGACGAATGTAAGGCTGACATATCCAACAATGGGCGACAACAAGCACCAAACAGATTGACAAACAGCACGACAGGTCAGAGTAACAATCAATCTCTGTGGGGAAGTTCTATTTTTAACTTACTAAAAGTTCTTTAACCACATCACACTAACTTCCCCAATCAGCCTGACTGAGCTAACGTCAATGAACCATAAAAAACCTAGAAAAAGTTAAACAAACAACTTGAACAGTTCTGCCATCAAGTTGGAAATTGGTTTTTAAATTCATTATTGTGAGAAAGACGTCTCAAAAAACATTACAAGAAGATTTACTCGCAGTTCCTTTGGCCCCATGTCACACATGTTGTTTTTGGACATGAAATGTACATAGAAATAACACGGAAAGCAATTATGTTGTTTTAGTGCCAGTAGTTAAAGTCTTCTATTAATCTCCGGGACTTTTCAATCTGCTGATGAGTTTTTTTGCATCTGGGTGCAATTTTCACAGAAGATCCGTCCCTGGAGAGAAATAATAAACCACATTTAATGGAGGGTGCAGCTTCGGAAAATTGCACTTTACCGTTGGGATGTCTTTGCATAAACACCCGTAAAAAAAAACCTCCCAAATGTGTTCAGTTGAGGAGCCGAGAAATGCTACTGTGTGAGTTTCTGTGTTATCAAAATATGACTCAATCACATTTACAGTCATCATCCTGGTCTTGTCTCCCACAATCAATTCCCTT